GGAAAATTTTATAAGACGATGGTGAGACCTGCAATGCTCTATGACGTTGAATGTTGGTCTCTAAAAGAGAAGCATTATAATAAATAAAGTGTTGCAGAGATGAGAATGATTAGGTGGATGAGTGGCTTTACACTTAGAGATAAATGCTAAATGAATTTATCTGTGATAGGGTTGGTGTAGCTCCTGTGACAGACAAAATTAAAGGAAGCCGTATTAGATGGTTTGGTCACATTAAACGTCGATCGTCTGATGATCCGATTAGGAGAGTAGATGCTTTAGATTTGTGTTAAGAAAGACAGTGATAGACCTAGGAAGACTTGGGTTTATTGTATAAAAAATGATCTTAATTTACTTGACTAGATGAAAATATGACACTAAATAAGACTCAATGAAGAAAAAGGATTCATGTAGCCATCCCCACGTAGTGAGATTAAGGCTTTGTTGTTGTTGTTGCATAATTTGCTAAAAATAAAATTAAATAATTGAAAATTAATTTGAAAAGTTCTCAACTCTAAAATAGTAGGCTCCAAAGCATCACATCAAAATTTATAATTGTTTGAATTGATTTTCATGATGACATCAATAGTGTGATTCAATAATCAAAATTGAGTGATATATTAATAAAAAAAGGAAACTTCATATTATCCTATATCCTAAAGAATTTAACATCAATAAATTCATCTTATAAGAAATTATTCATAGCATAAATTTGCTAAAAAAAAATAAATAATTGAAAAGTTCTCGACTCTAAAATAGTAGGCTCTTTTAAAAGAAAAATTATTCCATACGGACAGACATGCAAGATGCATGCGGCGTCCGATCTTGACTGTAAATCAGATGATTTAAGGTCATGATGTATTTCGATGGGCCCCACAATTTAAAAAAAATTAAATATATCCTAACAGTCAGGATCGGACACCGTATGCAATAATTTCTTCTTTTAAACCCAAGCATCACATCAAAATTTATAATCATTTAAATAGATTCACGATGACATCAATAATGTGATTCAACAATCAAAATTGAGTGATATATTAATAAAAAAAGGAAACTTAAGATAATAAAGTAATGCTATGAAACTGATAAAATAGCAATAAATAGTCTATCCATGCAGTAACCCTAAAGGAATTATTGCTAATGCCCGAAGTGGAATCGCTCAAAAAATAATTTAAAGAGGCCATTCTGTGCTTCTGTTTTTAGGATGGATTCAAATTAAATAACTATTTCTTAATATGTTAATAAAACACACACTCATATTTATGCCAATAATTTCAAAAGCAAAGAAAGATTTATGTTAAGTAGGATTTATCAAATCCGTGATATTTGTAGATCAGAGTGAGGATCCGTTTGGGGCAGCTTATTTAATGCGATGATATTTTGAAAACGCACATGACCTATTTGGGTACACCATTTTGGTAGCTTATGCGTTTTCAAATGGTCTGACTTTTTCAAAAAAAATAAAAATTTGTAATAGCTACCGCACCTAGCTTATCAGCCGCTTATTTTTAATCAACTTATCAGTAAATTATTCAATAAGTTGTAGCTGCCCCAAATAGACCCTAAGGGTCCGTTTGGGGCAGCTTATAAGTGCGGGCGGGCTTTTCA